CACTTGTACGTTTGTGAGCAGCATGCGGTTTGGCTTCCACCGGGAGCCGGATGTCGTGGGGGAGAAGGTGGAGGGTGGGGTTGTTGGCGAGGAAGAGAGGGCGAGGGGGCGGTGGATGGCGGGCTGGGATACGGAGAAGATGCGGGAGTGGATGGAGGGGCGCAGGTGCGAGGAGGCGGAGTGGGTTAGGGCGAGTCTGCAGAGGATTTTTTGAGGGAGGAGGGGGCAGGGGAGTGGGGAAGGGCAGGGAGGGACACGGTGTGATGATTTTATGATACCCACAAGCGCATGGCAGGATTGGATTGGATTGCAATGGATACGGATGCGTACGTGTACGTGTATGGCATTGACATTGGCGGCGCCACCAGACCCAGCACCGTCAACAACTCCTCCCCTTCCCCTTCACTTTTCTCCTCTCTGATATCGCAACGCCGCACTTCAAATCCCGCCAACGCCCGTCCTCCTCCTTTCCCCTCCGAAACCCTCTTCCAGCGCTTGCCTGACCCGAGCCCTAGGGATACCAATCCGAGTCCATCAGACGTTCTGCGGCGCGGGCGGTGTTGGTTTTGGGGACGGTGGTGGTGGAACTGAGCATAGTGAGTGCGATGGTTGCCGTCTCGTTGGTGGCGCTGGCGGCCGTTTGTCGGGGGGATGGCGTTGGTGGGTGGAGGTACGACTGCTGTGATATGACGTCTAGGAAGACTCTCAAGGCTTGCTGATGCTGGGACTGCGGGTGTAGAGTTCGTTGCTTGGGAGTTGGGGATCCGGGGATCCGGGGATAGAGGGAGCTGTGTATGCGTTTACTAGCTGTAGATTTCGATATGACATGCGGCGATGATGATAGGGATTTACATCGTCTTTGTGGTTTGTTGTCGACTAGTACCGTCATCGTCGTTGAGGAAATATAGTGCCGGGCGATGAGGGACGAGGGGTCTGGATGCTAGGTATCCTGTCTTCGGTAGGATAACTGAATATACGAAACGTACGGGTACGAGGATTATTCATCCTTCCTTTGTAGCTCCGAGGTTGTGGCATTCGTGTTCGTGTCTTACATGCAGCCGGAAACAAACAGGCCAGTACGAGATCAGATGGGATCGTAGCTACTATGTGCCTGTGCCAGCCCGAGCCCCTTTTCCCCGCGAGGAATCGACATGGAGTGATTTTAATGGCAGACCGTTGACACCGATGAAGAAATAGCCATAAATGGGCAGGAGCAAATATAACGAATATGCTCGAGATGAAGGGATGACAAAACGCCGCCTGGTCCAGCCCCAGAAGCCGAATCGTACCATATGAGCAGTTCAAATAAGCACGTACTCCAGGACATCGCCACTGTACCGTTGACTCCGGTGGAAGCGGAAAACCAAGAACCCGCTAGTTTTGACTTGCAAGAAACGCGAAATCAACAAGAAAAGAGAACGCAGCGTAGCAGCGAAGGGAGAAGAAGCAAAAGACACGCATTTTCCCGTCTCTCTCTGACTCACGTGTTCGACGAAGCAGCTTCTTGGATCCCATTCAAGGGCCCGCCGAAGCTGTTGCGATCCGTCGTCGGCGTCTCCATGCCGCTCATCATGCTGTTGCCGCTGTTGCTGCCTATGCTGTTGCTCATGTTGTTGTTCATGCCGCTGTTCATGCCGTTGCCCATTCCGTTATTCATGCCGTTATTCATGGGGCCGTTCATGCCATTCGGCATACCGCCACCCATACCCATAGACGCCGAGTGGGAATGCGAGTGCGAGTGCGAGTGCGCGTGTCCCGGCGCGAGTCTCGCCTGCGAGGACTCATCCTCCTCACCCATGCCGTCGACGTCTGGCCAGAAGCGCTCTTCCAGCCAGCATACCTGATCGAAGAGCTGTTCGCAGCGCTGCATCTCCTCCTTGCCGTTGCGGCCTTCTGTCGTGTTAGCGAGCTCGTCGACGAGGGTGCGGCAAGCGTCGACGAATTTGGAAAAGGGGGCGGAGGTCCAATTGGGAATGAGGGATTGGTGGAGGGCGACGATGTGGGACTCGCTCGAGGGCGTGGAGAGGGACTGCGAGAATGAGTTTGCGTACGTCCAGGCGGAGCGGTAGCACTGTTGTGTGGGCGCGTTGATCAGCAATCTGTGAATCCACCAAGGAGCGGACTGGGGGCCACGAACGTGCTCGGTTGCCCAGAGTACGACCATGCCTTCGAGCATCGACGCACCGGAACTGGTGCAGCTAATGAAGAGGTCGAGGTACGCGCGTGTGATGAAGTTAGGAGGCTCGTCGGTCAAGTGTAGACCGAATTTCGTAGCGGTGATCTCGAAGAAGGTCATCTCCCGCCGGATGTTGTTGAGCGCGCTGATGAGGAGGTCCATCACCCGCGTCATGGGGTGGAAGTTGGAGTTGTGGCCGACGGGAAGTCTGATCTTGGCCAGCATCTGCCCGATGAAGCGGATGTAGCCTCTGCAGTAGTGCGCATCTTGGACCAGCCATTGTGACAACGCCGACGCAGAGAGCGTACCGCAACCAGCATGTGAGAGGAAGGGCTGTTGCGTTGCAGCCGTGAAAGCTGCGTTGCCCCGCGTCAAGAGATGTGCCGTAAGAGAAGGATGTACGGGCCGCGGCGGCGGGGGTTGACTTCCAGGGTGCGGCGCGATCGGCTGACCCTCCCTACTCCTCTTGTTCTGGTTCGGTCCGCGGCGATGGACTTGCAGGTTCGGATTCGGACGCGTGCCGTTCAATATCGCGCGGTTGGGGTTGGGGTTGGGGTTGGCGTTGGCGTTGTTGGCGTTGTTGGCGTTGTTGGTGTCTTGGGTCATGGTCAGGTCGATGGCGGCGTTAACGGGCTGTTGCAGATGGACCTGAGCATCCGGAGAGTTTAGGTAGGGCTGGCATGTCTGGAGGTGCTCGATCTGGCGAGTGGTGTTCTTTGCGCGCGTGAAGCCGCAGTGAAGGCACCGGACTTTGCTGCACTGTCTGCATGTCAGCTCGCGACGCTCCTCGGACACGGCAAAAAACGCGACTTGAACGCGTTGACTGACCTTGGACGGGGTAGATTCATCGGTGTACTCCTGGAAAGCCCGACGGATATCAGGGTTTGCATGCTAGGACGTCAGTCTCGCTGTTAAGACATCGGTTGGTGTGAGGAATCTGTCGAGGCTTACTCTGCCCATCTTTGAGGTCCGCGGTTACAGTACAGTTATGATACGCGCGATACAAGGACGAGAATCGTTTCGTTTCCCGGGGAGTGTGGAGTTGAGTCGTCCGCCGCCGCTGACTCAGCTCGCTATACCCGATTCGACCCGTCTAGCCACGTCTAGCCTCGATTGAGTTGACGACTACGCCAGGGGGCCAGCCGGAAAAGTATCCGACGTACAATCATCCACCGACAATCTTTCAGCCTTGTGCTAAATACCCCCGTCAGCGTCCCAAGTCGGATGGCCTTGAGCTTCGACACTGTCAGCATCTTCCTTGAGGATGAATACGGTACTGCTCAGCCTTGCGACATTGTTATGTCCTGCCTTACGTTCTGGCGGCATCACTAATGCATACGACCTCCCTCTGCAACCATCCCTGCATGTTTGGTTGATCATACTTGTCCCCATTAGGCGTCTGGATCACCTTTGTCCTTGATGTTGATCTTATCTGCAGTGGCCGATACGGCAACATATGCATCAAAGTTGAACGGACGTAAGTGCGCATGGGAATATACAGAGCCGACTGGAAATCGGCAAATTGCACTCATCTCTGCGAGGTTGATTGACCAGAGTTGATCACACCAAGCGTTTACATTTCCCCTTTATCCTTTCTATCTGCCTCATCTGTAGTAGACCGACATGGCAGCCTACGCATCAAAGTCAGACGGAGGTGGTTTGGTCGAGACAAACACACAGACTAGGAATCAGCGAGTAGCTCTCTTTGTGCAGAACAGCCTATAGATCCTGGCGCGGTTCTGCATTCAGATTCGATCTCGCTGGAGTGCAGACGCCGCTATGATCTCTATACTATCCCATCCAGTACAATCTCCGAAGGGAACAAGCCCTTCTTCTTATCTAAGTTACTATCTTCTACATCCTTCCCACTTCCAACATATACACCAATCCTCTCCTCGCCATCCCAGCAAAGGTCCACCGTGGACCCAGCGATCGGGTACGCGGGCTGCGATATCAATGCAAAGGTCATATCACAAACCTTCAACGCAACGTCGAACCAACTGATTCCCAACGACGCGCTTTCTTTCCTCCTCCGACGTGCCCTCCGCCTGGGACCTCGAGCAGGGCAATTTGGTCGTGGCCGGACGAGCCTCGACATCCTCTCAGATACATCTGCCATGAGGCTATCTATACCGAGAACTACGTACCAGGCATCCATCGATCAATCTTCTACATGATCATCATCCACCGCGCACGTCCCGTGATCTCCCTCCGCGAAGTCGTCTCCCAATGCAATCAATCGTCTTCGAAGAAACGCCGACTCGACATTCCGCGCTTTTCGGAATCCCTGCCTCATGCCCACCAACCCTGCCATCCTCGTGAGCCCTCTATCCCGATCTATGTGCGGCTTTGCAAGCTTTGGAAACGCATGGCAAACCGCCGCCATGTCGCTTGATGTCTAGGTGTGATGAGCCGGTTTGACTATCCGAGGCCTTGCTATCAAGTTAATGCAGACTGTGTTAAAGGCCTGACGTGCTGTTTACGGTACAATGTTAAGAACATGCGTGCCCCTAGCTCCGTCGCCCGTATCGCGTGCGACGCTAACCTCACTCACATTAGTTAGGAGACACGGCGAGCAGTGCGGTAACGAGTAATAAAAATTCCAACTGAGAAGCAAAATAAACAACGACGAGACACAAAACAGTTTACGAGTAGGAAAGAGCTCGGCGAAGGAAGGAAAGGAAGGCACGAGAGGTGAGTGAGTGTGTGGATGATTGATCAATCAAATCTCCTCGGTTCCGCACTTTCATTGGTGGGGCCGGGGAGAAAAAGGGCAAAAAATGAATCACCCCGCAAGTGTAAGTGGAATGAATTTGAAATAATACGACGTTGACAAGATTCGAACTTGTGCTCCCGAAGGAAACAGATAACCGAATTGTAGTGGGACTAATTCGAGTCTGTCGCGATAACCACTCCGCCACAACGCCTTGGAAACTAAATTCAAATATTGCGTACTTATACTGCAAATATTGGTCGACGTATCAGCGCACTCAGCATCCAACTCAGCGCATGCCCGCCAGACTCATTCATGCCCATCGCACCCCTCTCATCACTCCGCCCATATGACTCTTACGACTCATCCCGCTCCCAACCTGCTCATCATCACACACAATCTCGCAACTCAGACTGAGAAAGCTCACCCGGACGGACAGACTCCGGTCGCGTTCCCCCTGTCGCACACGAGAGGCGCATCTCCATACGAGACCAGCGCTCCCACCATCAAGACAAAAACGGCATGTTCCAGCGCCTCTCTAGCGAGCGGGAAGCACGAGTCTAAACCTTCCGTTTGCTTGGCCCCTTTTGCTATTTTTGCGGCGACGAGACTTGTTGAGACGACTAGCTGCACTCCGGCGTCGCCGTATGGCGCTCACGTTCATGTTCACGGGGATCAAGAATGGCAGCCTGGGGCTGCGGTGTGAGAGACAGTTTGCCCAGCTGAATGGAGAGGTGAGTGAGCGGGCGGAGAGCCCCGCCTGAGGTGCTGCGACCGCAACGGAGGCTCCGCCGACTCTGCTTCGGCAGTTTTCATCAGAACGGACGCGATACCGATGCGATAGAGTTTGGCTTTTGGGTTGGAGCCGGGCTCCTTCGGCAAATGGAGGCCTGAAAGTGATTGAACCTCGAACCCTGCGAGCCGTGGAGTGGTGGGAGGTGTGGCTTGGCAGGGGACGGAGATGGGTGTCGTGAACTGCGCAAGCTCACCTGCAGAGTCATCATCACTCGCAGGCTGGACATGCTGACAATTGGATGATGAGATGCAGCGGGTATTGAGGGCAAATGGGCAGGATCCATGGGTTTGTTTGTTTGCGACATGGCTCATGAGACGAGCGCGACGAGCGCGACGACCGCGTAGGCCCCAATCTCGCCTGACTCCACACGTCCTGCTTGTCTCGGCTTGCTTCTTCGCATCTGCGCTTGGCGCTGGCGGAGATGTTGGTTCTCGACGCGACGCGACATCAAGTACCTACCCGGATATCAAGTTTCGAGGCCGCGGAGGAGAAGAGATGAGGAGGCGGACATGTGAGTGTCGTCTTCGACTTTCTGTTGGTCGATACAGCAGTACCTACTGTAGGTCCCGTCTCGGGACTCGGCATCCGCCCAGAGATCGTTCAGCTGCGCGGAGGGACCGGGTCATGCGGCGGCGCGAAATGGACATCGACAGACGCTCGTCCGCTAGGTGGTACTTCGTAGCGATGAGCGGAGGGGGACAGATTGGCAGTCTTGACGCGGCGGGCGGGCCGAGGCTCTCAGACCAGTTAAGTTAACGATAGTTAACTAGGCAGAGGAAGCAAGCAGGCAAGCAAGCAGCAGCACTCCATAGCCTTCGTATCGTGAGCCTCGCTGGCGTGACATTGAGTGCGGCGTTGGTGCTGTAAGTAAGGTGGAAGAAAGACAAAATGTCAGCTCCAGACACGCCCAACCCCGGCTCGAGAGCGGATAGTGACAGATGCGGCGGGCTTGACTAGCTGGATCAGGGAAGCAGGCGGCAAGGCCGGTGGAGGGAAGCTCCGCAGAGGGCGCAACTTTAAGATTGCTACACCCGACAACTGTCATGACTCTCTCTCGCCAGCCTCCCATGTGCGCCTCGCCAGGGCCAAAGACTGGACGGAGTAGCTAACGTTATGGGATCCAGGACCGCGAGCGGCGCGCGCAGACTGCTTGTACTCCTCGATTGTGGTCGGCGCGGTGGCGGAGAGTAGAGTTACGAGCGATGGACCGAGTTGGTGCTGCGGCAGCGCTTCTGCAGGTACCGTGCGGAGGGAGGGAGGTGAGGGTGGTACGTGTGGTGCGTATGGTACGTGTGGTGCGTGTGGTGCGTGTGGTACGTGTGGTGCTGTGGTGCTGTGGTGTGTGTGGTGAGTGTGGTGAGTGTGGTGCGTGTGGTGCGTGTGGTGCGTGTGGGTTGAGATTGCAGGGTTTGGGTGTCGGGCTCAGGGCTGAAGAACACAGTGCCGGTTGCATTCCTATCGTATTTGGCCAGATGAGCTAGTACGAGGGCCAAGCCGTGATGATCTATTTTCTCCCTGTCCTGCCCTCGCCGACGCTTCTCTCTCTTCTCTCTCTTCTCTCTCCAACAAACAACCTCCAACCTACTTGTTGTTCGCATCCCAGAAGCTCTACAGCTTCAGCCACTCTTTCTCACCTCATACATCCCTCGCACGCGGTCAAGCGTTGCAGTCATTCGTTGAACAAAACACAAAGATCGTCTTCATCCACCTTTACTTTCCCAACTTCCTCAAATACCCACACGTGCTGCAATCATGTACTCCAACAAGGACTTCTCCCTCTTCGCCCTCTTCACGGCCGGTCTCGCCTGTCTCGTCAAGGCTGACGATGGCCCGACTGCCAACGCCATCTACCTGCCCGGCCTGAACGACGTAAACACGCCTTTCTGTCTCTCCTTGCATTCCAGCGTCTGACCTCGCAACCAGATTGTCCCCGCCGGCAAGCCCTACGACATCACGTGGAACGCGACCTCGCCCTACTCCGGCGGCACCGTCACCCTCGTCCTGCTCAAGGGTCCCTCCACCGATGCCGAGCCGCTCCAGACCATCGCGGCCAGCATCTCCAACAGCGGCTCCTACAGCTGGACTCCCGACACCAGCCTCGAGGACAGCTGCGATGAGGGCTACGGCTGCGACGAGGGCTACGGCATCAAGCTGATCGTCGACTCGAACCAGGCCTACCAGTGTAAGTTTGCTTAAGATCTTCCATTATACGTCCCCACTATGGCCTACGTCCCACCACCTATACCTTATATCCCGCCCTGTTCCCGTCATATATCCAACGTCACGTGCTTTCCGCATCTCAACTCACCCACCTCTACTCCAAACCCATGCTAATCATCCCCCATAGACTCCACCCAATTCGGCATCTCCGTCGACGACTCTTCCAGCAGCTCCTCCGCCGCCGTCTCCGCCGCCGCCGTTTCCTCTACCTCCGCCGCCTCCAAAGTCTCCATCACGACCACGATCCCCCTCACCGTCACCACCTCCCTGGTCCCCTCCTCCACCCCCGCCGGCCCCAAAACCGTCTACGAAACCGACGAAGTCACCATCACCTCGTGCGCTGCCAGCATCACCAACTGCCCCGCCCGCTCCGCCGCCGCCTCCACCCCCATCGCAACCCCCAGCTCCATCTCCACCCCCGCCGCCGCCATGTCGACCCCCTCGTCCAGCTCGATGATGAGCCTCGTCTACAGCACCGGCCGCATGCCCGCCAGCAGCATGATCGTCCTGCCCACCATGTCCATGAGCGTGCCCTCGACTCTGCAGACCGCTTCTGCGTCCAGCGTCGCCCCGATCATGTCGAGCGACGTCATCGGTGAGACGACTGCCCCTGCCGCTGGCACCTCTGCCGCGCGCGCCAGCTCCGCTGTCGGCACCCCCGTTTCCACGCCTATTGCGTTCACGGGTGCGGCGTCCAAGGGCATGGGTATGGGTGCTGCGGGCGCCATGGCTGTTGTTGCCGTTGCCGCGATGGTCGTTTAAGGGGATGCAAGGGTGGTTTCTTTGTCTTTGCTCGTGGCTTTCAACGAGGGTCGCGATTTTGTGGTGGATGTAGATTCCGGATCCTGGCTGGAAAGGTGCATAGGAAAGGAAAGAAAGTGTGCTTGATCGATCCGATCCTTTTTCCTCTTCTCTGTGTATATTTGGTTGAGTTGTTTGCTGAATCGATTGATTGATTGACTGGTTCTGACGGCGCTCTGAACTCGTGCATGCCTATGAGTCGTGTCACGCACTAGGGATATGCCACTACGCCAACAAATATACGAGTACTTTCACTGCCAACGACGGAAATACAGTTGCTTTAGTGCGTAAATGCACAGGCAGCTTGATGTATGGACATTAGTGTGAAAGACCATAGGTAAGCAAGCTGTTGTTCATCTGTACCGAGTCCTCCATCATCTCAGCTCGCCCAAGATAACGCGTACGCAACGTAATTGAGGAAAAGACCGTTGGTCATGGGGTATCTCTTTTGTTGTCGCCCGCGTACACACACCCGCTGACAAGGAGCAAGCCAAACGGGAAAGAAGAAGAGGGAAACGGAAAAGGAAGACACCCCCTAAAGAACATACGCAGATACAAGTTATACAGATCAATGAACACGACCAACGACGGAAACCTCACTCGGCAGTCGGGGCGATAGCATCACCATCATCGCTACTCCCACTCCCACTTCTCCCCCCAACACTCCCCGACCTCTCAGACCCCTGGCTCGTCGTCATCGTCACCGTCGTCGCCGTCGGCGAACTGATCTCATCACTCCTCACCACCGCCGTCTCCTTCTCCTTCCCCGCCACCCCCATCCCCTCCCCCTGCCCACATCTCAACCTCGGATGCTCCGGCCAACTCAAATCCAACACGGCCAAGCGTTCCCCAAACGCCGTGACCGGCACGCCCCTCGTCCTCGTCTCCCAGTTCCCCGCCCCCAACTCCTCGTGCGCGAGCCTCTGCAGCTGCAGCGTCTCATTCGCCGTCCACTCGACCCTCTGATACAGCCCGAGCCGCAGCCGCCGCGAGACAAACGAAGTCAAGACTTCGAGCGTGTACGACACGGCTATGATGAGGCCGCCGAGGACGAAGACGAGGATGAGCGAGAGGGTGGAGAAGGAGGTGTAGGAAGTGGATTTGACTTTCTGGGACGCGCAGAGGGTGCGCCCTTCTCTAGTCGACGGCTTCACCATCCACACGTCGAGCTTCGCATCTGCGGGGCCGACCGCCGCCTCGATCATCATCCGTTGCAGGTTCGCCATCAGGATCTGGTACCAGTGCTGGACTTCGAGCTGCCATTGGTTATCCGGCAACGGGCTCTGCAGCCCGCCGCCCATGGTGGCGCGGGCGCTCAGCGCTGAGATGCCGAGGTTGTATACCACGGTGTTGATGGCGCCCGAGAGGTACCAGTTGTTGTAGCCGAAGTTGTGGAC